CAAATATAGGGTACAGATACAGTGAGATAGCGAACTTGCAGAACACCTGGGGTACAACCGAGGTACACCTGCTTCTCCAGACTCCAAGGTAAACAGACCCCCGGAAGCAGTAAGTTAAAGGATTTAATCAATGTTCAGACTGGATCTTTGTGATATATTTTACTAAAACTATTTGATGATGGGAAAATTGTCTTTCCTAGAGTGCAGATAACAGAATGTACTGACCGTTATCAAAAATACATTTTTAACACTTTAGAGTAAATATCTCCTTGTACCTTCCCCATTAAGAATGGCCATGGCCCTTTTGCATGTTATACATGGTATATCTCTATGTAACACAAAATATGTGTCTTCATGTTTGCTTGTACTTTGAAATAATATGCCAGATTTCTGTCCAGGAAAATGTGAAGTGTCCATACATCAGTATAAATAGCTTATGAATAGGAACATAAAAGTAGGTACTAGTACATAAAAGCAATGGTTGCAAATTAACTCAATGTCCTTAAACATCTAAAGATGGTGGAATTCTGTCAGTAGCCACCTTGAACCATGGTTGTAATTACATGAAATGATAGAAATGACATAATTCACCAGATGTCCATAGAGTTGTGCAGTATATATGACATAATTATGTAAGATAGTTAAAGGTTAACATCAATATTCATATATTATGTGATGAGGTCATTTGCATATTTAATGATGAAATGTTGAAACATTGCCAAAGGGCAGGACTTTCACATATAGGATATATGTAATTTGAGTTGAGAAAACAATAAATTCCAATAGATTATGCTACTTACAACTTAATTTCCATAATCAATGAGACAAATGAAAAGAAACAAACATTTACAAAAGCTCTAAATATTTCATCGAGCTATGGGATCTCTCAATTCTTGTTGTTAATACTTTCAAATCAAAGTATCGGACCAATATTGTTTTGTCCTCAGGGGGCAGTGGTGATGAGGGAAGCTCTTGATGATGACAAGGAAAAAAGGAGAGAACTTCTCAGCTTGTTATCAAACACTCAAGGATTTCTAAAATCATTGGAGCCTGATGTGATAAAACAGCTCGACATGCGATGTGGGGGCAGTGTGAAGGCTGTTCTTGGCAACTGCGCAGATCAACTGAGAAAGGATGATTGCCCCATTCTTGTAGCAGGTAAATTAGATTGGTTGGTATAACATACCTTCAACAAGAGGGATCTTTAAGTGCCAACTTTCTGTCACATAAGATAAGGCCACACTGATTTAATTTTATGGATGCCATCAGCGCACGCATTGCAATGATTTTCGCCTGTTCTAAAAAATCACCTCTGAGGCTTCAGTCTGGGTACCATCCTCCGTATTCCATGGTAGCTAGCGACAATAGGGAGCAGATGGTAACTACAAAGGAAGGCACCCAGACTGCTGATGCTCCACAGAACTTCAGAACTCAGTACAGTGCCGACTTATAAATACTGCAAAAGGCCAGTATATGTATGTGCCGGCTTCTTGATATGTACTACCGCAACACCAGCTTTGTATTCCTTTAGCGTAGGTGCCATCCTATTTGTATGCCAGGGCTCCGTTCCTCGCTCCCTAAGAATTCTAAAGGGGCGAGTATGGGAGCCCCGTATACAAATAGGATGGCACCCAGGCTAGTATTCCTGTGGTTTAGCAGCATTTTGGGGGGCTGGGCACTAGTTTGGGGGACTCTAGTGGATGTCATCCATAGAATCAAATCAGTGTCAATGAAAAAAACAACAACAACTCATTTCCTGTTTACTGTTGTATCCTCTGCCAGACGCTACATTGTGTACAATGAATGCCGTGTTCATATGTGAATACATTCTTTTTTGATGAGATCACCTTAAGTTGGAAACTGCACGTTTGGTTTGGTAGTCTAACATGGTGTTCCATGTTCCAGACTAAGCACTACATGTATAAATGTAAAAAAACAGTAAATGCTGAATCCTTTTTTTCAACAGGAATCTCTCCAAGTGAATATTTTACTTGATATTTACATGTGGAACTTTTGTATCTTTCAGGAGAGACATCTGCAGGTAAAAGCACACTGTTGAATGTCCTTCTCGGAGAACCTCTCCTACCAACCTCCGTCCTCAGTACAACATCCATCATCTGCGAACTCAAGCACGGTAGGCCTAGAAGAGCTGTTTTCCACAGGAAGGGACAGGGACCTGCAACCCGTTCAAGACAAGAAACAGTGTCATTGGATGGGTCAACAAGACAAAACCTGAAGAAGCTGTCTGATAAGGTTCACCTGAAAGGAGAAGACAGAGAGACTGCTCCTGACTATGAAAAAGTTGAGATATACTGGCCACTGCCACTTCTTGAGGTACTTGCTTATTTTATACCTAGCATCTGTGATATTTGATTATATGCCCTTTAGCAAAGTGTGCAATATTATCAATTGGGGTTTTGTAAGATTGAACACATGCAGTATGTAACATATATTTTGGCACAATATCCATTGGTATGATGCTTACACCTTTAATAATAGGCCTATACATCTATCTGCAAATGAGAAGTTCAAAGGACAAGTAATTAATTCTGTTTTGGTGCCTTTCAACCCCAAATCCTGTTTGCAGGAGGTGATTCATTGGTTTATACCTGTCCAGTCCCATACATGTTGGGCTGATATTTGACCCAAATCCATGGTCACCTTTGATGCCTGCCTATTCCACCAGGAGGCAGCGGTGATGTAAGTGGACATACTACGGCACCGCATCCTCCTGGTGGAATAGGTAGGCATAAAATGTGAACATGGATTTGGGTCAGATATTACCTGCAGGATTGACAGAAACCAATGAATCACGTTTTGCAAATAGGATATTGAGTTAAAAGGAACCGAAGGTGAAATTAGTGTATTTTTCCTTCAAACACTTATTTACAAACATGACTTTCAACTGTCTCCATATTCCAAATTCTAACATGTTGCAGATAGAGTGGCCAATGTCTCCATGTAAAAAGCTAAATTTTTCCATATCCTTGCAGGGTGGTATATTCATTGTAGATAGTCCTGGTGTAGGAGAAAGCAGGCTGATGGACAGCATGGTGAGCAAATACATAGGACAGGCCTGTGCCTTCATCTATGTCCTCAACAGCTCCAATGCTGGTGGTGTCCAACCGGGGAAGGTGAGCAACTTACTGCTAGCTGTGTTCCCTGGTTGTGTTCAATCATCATTGCTTGTTCACTCAATCAGAATCCATATCATAAGTCCACTGGTCTTCCTCAGAAGGGATCACTGGTCAAATAAAAAAATTTCCCTCGGGTGCTTTTTATGATACCCATTTCAGCACCATGGGCAGGGTAAGTAATGTAATGAAGTATTTCTTTTGTGTATCTACCCAAATTGATCTATTGTAGAAGGACTCAGCAATTATCCAACTTAAGTAGACAGAAGTAATTGCCTTCTTCACTGGCAATCAGCCAAAAGAAATCTTCATGTTAAAGATAATACCATCTAATAGCATGTATGTATGTACAGTTACCTGTTAATTAGCATGTAACTATTGCACCAAAAGTTCATCTATATTGGTTAAGATAATGGGGATTTCTGGTATCCATGGAAACATGACAGTTTCAAATGATATATTTTCTTTCAGCTTCAAACTTTGTTGGAAAATTGTCGCAAGCAACATCCTGATGAGATGCAGCTCTTTGACCCCAAGACTGCCATATTTGTATGTAACAAGTGGGATCAAATACCAGAACAGGAGAGGGAAGAGGTGAAGGAAGAAATCATCCGACAGCTACAGAAACACTGGAGCAGGGACTACAAGCTGGATCCAAAGTCACAGGTGTTTTGCCTGTCTGCCACTGAGGCAAGTAAATCCTTAAGATACAGCTTACATTAAATGTATACAGAGGGTGATCTGTAGAGCACTTGTCATCTTCAGCTTCACACAGCTTTCCTTCTTGTTTTGGCCATTATACCGCAGTATACTTCTGGCCAGCAGGGCAAGAGTGATCATGGTGGCCAATCACTGCCCTATGAATGTTACTATACACACTAGGTGCTGTTTCTTTGTGCCCAGATCCACAAAGATGAACTCTCAGTAGTCTCTGCAATGCTTTTAGCTGCCTCTGATGTCTTCTTCCCCACTACCTCAAGTGATTGCAGGGTTTTCCACAATCACTGCCAAATGAACCCTCTGCATCCCACCTTTATGGGGGGCCACAATGTCCTCCGCCATTTTTTTTTCAGGCTTAAAAAGTGCTTCCAACTTGATTGCTTAGGGGCCCACCAACATGCCCTCACTATAGTCTGTATCCTGATCAAACATGCTCAATAGCAAGTGAAGCAGTCCTCCAACTGATCAGTCAGCCAGTTTGGCAGTTTCTATAAAATGACTTTTTTGTATTGCTTTAATCGTTTCATATTTTACCCTATAATTTTACAAATTGATCTTAATTTGTTTCTTCCTAGGCTGAAAAGACTCAGGAAGCAGGATATGTTGCCGAAGATCTCGAACAATTGCTGGATGGAATTGATGCATTGCTTCCACAAAGCCTAAAACATAAGCTTACCATACAGTACTGGTAGGTGATTTGTAAATTATCTTTCAGCCAATTAAGCTGTCATTTATTGTTGACACATGATTTCATGTTTCATAGCATGGTTATATTGATTGAAGTTCTTTTAAAGCAGTGGTAAGTTCTGGGACTGCATTACAGGCATGGTTTTATAATTATGACATACTCTACCTGAAAACAGAAATATTGATTTGAATATTGAAGTTTGATTAAACGTTTAGAATTCATTGTTTGAATTTTCAAACCATGTTGACATCATGGCTCCTATCATAGCATTTAGGGGTATCATAGGATGTCTAGGGCTGTTTTTATTTGTATTTTTTCGCCCTGTCACCTGCTTCTGAAAAAAGCCAAGAATCAACAAATCAAATTGGTGTGGTCTGAATTCATTAAAAACTGCATTACATCTCAATCATCATACTTATTAGCCCATTTTTCTGTTGATTTTAAGGTCACTTATGAATGTTGTTGAGGCACTTAACAAGATAATGAAAGCAAAGCTTCACAATGCCAATAAGACCAGAGAGGAACGAGAAATACAGGCAAAGGCTATTAAGGTCAGACTTGAGAAGTTTGAGCAGTATGCAGGTCAAGTCATGGCTGGGCTGTCGATACAACTGAAGAAACAGATAGCACAGGCAATTCCTGCCATGCTGGATCATATGTGCAGTCCTGAAACAACAGCAGAGATTGTGACAGAGGCAATGAAACAGGCACCAATCTTGACCAAAGAGGATGAAAAGAATTGGAGAGATGTCAGAAACACAGCAGTGAGCCTTGTTTCAGGTCTTATTGAGGAAAAGGTACAGGCCTGGGACAGCACCAACATGTACTTTGACAAGATGGAGCATAATCTTGTCAACAACTTCAAGAAAGAGTTTGATCTGATCGATGAAAGGCACCATGAAGAGATACAGAAAGCACTAGATCCAGACTTGAAGACAGTTCCTGACAATACGAAGAGGGCTGCAGCTGCTGCTGATGAAGATGATGACGACTTTTCAATGACCACAGGTGGAAAGATTGCGCTTGGTGTAACTGCTCCACTGTGGATCCCTCTCACAGTTGCAACTGGCTTGTCTGCACTGGTGCTGGGACTGCCCATCATTGGAATTGTTGCTGCAAAAGGTAACATTTCAGAAGCACTAGAGAAGAGCAAGTTCATCAAGATGTATCGGAATGAGGAAAGCAGGAGGAAGTATTTTGAAGATCTGACAAAGAAGGCCTCGAACGCCATATCAGAAAACAAGGAACTGGTTGCCTTAGTTGAGAGGAGACTCGCAAAACCCATCACAATTCTGACGAAACTCATGGAAGCCATTCCAAACCTTGTTGCAGCTGACAGGAACTTGCTTGATGTCCTCGCAGCAGAGTCACGTGGCCAGGACACTCTTCTCCTTCTGTATCAACCACTTGTTGGTGGATGCAGACTACTGCAGGGTCAGCTGGAAATGTTTCGGATGAAGAACCTGTCCAAGTATCTTAGCCTTGACCGCATACTCAAGGATAACCCAAAGAAGATTGGCTCTGGACAGTTTGGTGATGTCTACAAAGTGACCATTCTCGCTGACAAGAAGACAATTGTTGGAGCAGTCAAGGTGGCCAAGGCACCCATCACCGTTGACACTGTCACTTCATTTCTTCAAGAAAAGGACAACCTGAGGTATGCTTCAGGACTATTATTCAACCCTGCTAAATGATTGTAAACTGTGGAAAAATTATAGGAAACTTTTAAGATTAACTGTGTCAGTCTAGGAAATTTACTTTATCCTGGGTTGTGCTCTATCATTTAAGTTAACTGTTTTCCATACCCCCTTTCAATTTTCCCATGTGCTTTAAAAGAAGTCACATACAATATGTATTATACATTATACAGTTATTTTACATATATTACTATTTACGACCTATCTACATGTATTAGGTGTATTTATGTTGATAAAAGAATCCAGCAGCACATTGGAGGTAAAGATTTGTACTGTAACTTGTACAATAACATTAGTACATATTACATTTACCATAATGAGTAAGATATGGATTTTATAATATGGATTGATGCTCCATGTTACGATATTTTCTTCTGACGTAGGTTCTTGAACCATACCAATGTTTTGAAGTACTATGCAACAGCAGCATCTGTCCATGATGGCTGTTTGAGAGTTGGCATTGTGACTGAGCTTTGCCAAGGGACTCTGATGGAATGGTGAGTTATTATCATCATCTCATCATCTTAAGTTAAATATGTCACGTTTTGTCAACTGTAGTTGTATAAGAAAGTCTGTTATTAAATAGTTTAGACACCATTTCAAATCATATGTCTGTCTCAGATATGTACGTGTATCACCAGTCCTTTATTTTTCATTTTAATACCATAGTCACAAATGTTTCTTTTGTTTTTTAAAACTAGTCTTCATCACACTATGCGAGATTCAACAGCCAACAGTGAAAATATTTTACCATAGAAATTTTTAACCTAACAGTAACAAAATTGGGTAAAACCATTCCAGGTTGAAAGACTACAAGACACCAGCAAAATGGGGACGTGACCATGCTGCCATGCGTAGAATGTATGAAAGGTCATTTTCAACCATACAGAATATGGGTGTACAACTGTGTCAGGGGCTGTCCTACATCCATGGCAAAGGATACATACATCGTGACCTCAAGGCTGACAACATACTGGTCAGTTTGATAAAATCATACTGACATTGATCTTCATCAGTGGTTAAATGATGAAAATGAAAAAAAAAAAATCAAATAAAAAGCTTACAGGTCCAATAATTTCATAATAAAGCAAAAATGAGAAAAATTAGAAAAAAATCTCCCTCCCTCCTCTGGCCTTAAACTCAACCTAACAACACAATGTAGTTGAAATTTTTGTCAGAATCAATAAACTCAATAAATCATCCATTATCGATTCTTTCAAAAGTTGAGACCAAAAGTTTGTGCTGCATGCTGTCAGATCTCTTAAGTTATGCCTGTCATACAATAGTATCTGTTGTTTTAAAGTTGATGCTATCTGTCAAATGTTTTTTTAAATGACTAGTCCTTATCAATTGTCATCATTTAGGTCACTACAGATGGGACTGTGAAGCTGGCTGACATGGGCCTAACCAAGAAGATGGCTGACCAGACAGGTACAATCTGTGGAACACCTCTGTATGCAGCTCCAGAGGTGTTTTCAGAGAATGCAGAATACAATCAGTCAGCAGACATCTACAGCCTTGGTTTTCTCCTCCTGGAGATGTGGTATGGTGTACCTGTGTATGAAGACCCCGTCTTCTTGAAAAAGGTCGTTGACAAGATCACCCTCCCTGCACAGCTCTCTTTTCAAAGTCAGCTGCCACCAATTGAGCCATGGCAGCAACTCATTAAGAAATGCTTTCAAAGGGATAGAAATTCAAGGCCATCTGCTTTGGCATGTATGAAGGAGTTAAAAGGCATGAAAATTTGAATTCATGATTTAAACCTCAATAGGGTTTTCTGAAAGCAAGTTCAGGGTACACATGTACTAGATAACAGCAGTTCTAATAGTATGAAAATTATAATGTGGAGATGATGTTCATTGTCCTGACTGAATCTGGTAACGTTATTATATTTAATGTATAGTTTTTACACATCACTTGAGAACAAGTGTCTATGATATACATTTTACATAAGATCCTATCTATATGTAATGTTGTATAGAATATCATACCATCCATGTATGTAAACAGATGACAGTAAATTCAAGACATTTGTTAGCCTGTTAAAGAATATTTCTAGCAGTGCTTTTTATCTCAACCTGCTATTTAAATCAACGTTAATGTCATATACAATGTACAGATGCACCAAATTGAATGTACTTTTTCCTTTCATCTTGACCTTTTACATATATCACATCAAGTATATTGAAGCTTTTGTGATGATAATGAGTAAGGTTTCATCTCCTTAAGGAGAACCAGATTCCATTATTTTACATTCTCCTAACTTTCACATTATGTTCATAATATTTGAGTTATTTCTTTTTCTAATTCTGTATACATTTAATTGTGTTATGTTTTATTTACTATATTCTATGTTGGGCTATGTAAAAAAAAAAAAAAAAGTTCTAGCTATCTAGCCTAAGGGTCTTATAGATACTCTTCAGCATCACAGTATATGTCTTACAGATAATGATTGACCTAGAACTTGAATTTGGCATGATTGCCATGCATTTATGGCCTCTTCTATGTAACACATTTATTGCAAAGAGTTGATGTCAACACATGTATAATCATACAATTTATTTCTGTTAACTCATGACCAAAGAGATTCTATATCTTACAATGTGTGATGTATTAGAAGACAAAGGCAAAACTATGAAATGACTATGAAGTGGTAGATGAAATTCAATGTGTCCTTTTGTAGTAATGGGGTGGCATCAACTCCTATCTGCACTAAACCTTCAGCAAGCTATTGGTCACACAGGTTGCTAATGCATATATTATTAGCATGTTTATGTCATCTTCAAGTTTGTGTAAAGATACCAGTATACTGAATTGCTCTTACTGTGCCTTTTCAACAGACTATGATTTATTATAGGCAGAATTGTGTATACTGTAAAGGTGCAGTGCTTGAAATACCACCTACACTTACACATCAGGTTAGTGCAGGTACAATTGGAGCAGCAGTGCAGATATTTCTGATGTCTACTTGTACATGTACCTAACCTTCACTGTCCATGTATTGGGCTTGTATATATTGCTGTATGCAAAATTTCATTTGCTGCTTTGACTGCTACCACCTATGAGATATGAAAGAAATGATGGCAATGGGGCAGTTTCAAATGTGACCCATACTTCCTAAATTCTGAGTGGTGCTGGTAAAATTTGACTGGTGCAGGTAATTTCCAATGTAACCTGCACCAGTGCGGGAATGCAAAATATATATTTGAGAGCCACAGGATGGATTGGGCAATTGGACAACAATAAACACATGACTGGACAGGAGATTAGGGGACAAAAAGGTCAGAATGCTGACTGGTAGGAGAAAAACTTAAAATTTCTCATTATCTAGCTAATGGAACCAAATATGTGTAAGAATGTGATGATTATTACAGTGTAATTAACACAGAAAACTAATATAACCATCATGCCTTCTTCCAAGAAAAATAGTGGATGCACTTGTATCAGATTTTTTTACCCAGAATGAGCTGTATGCGAAGAACACTAGATTACATTTTGTGACATAACTTACAATTAGTCTGTATACTTCAGGTAACCACAATCACACATTGTTATAGCTAGTGCTGTTTAAAATGGTATTATTATTACTTTTAAATTTAATTATGGTTAAATTGATACATGTAACCATTAGCTTTATCAAATTCTGTTCCTTTGGCTCTCCCAAATAAAGAAATTTTTTGATCAAATATAACAGGCCTCTTCTCTCTTCCATAAGGGATAAACATTGTTGTTGGTGACTTTGCCATATATGGAAGACAGTACCATGATTCTATATCTGGGTTAAGGAACATTAAGGACAGTTCTTGAATGATTTGCCTAAGAAGGGCATTAGACACACACAAAAAGAGATTTATAAAACCGATTGTACAATGCTTAAAACAAACTTAACTCACAACATCTAAATTTTGATAGGACAAGACTTGGATTGAAATTGAAGGTCAAGAATTTTGGGTTCTGTCTGACAGTCTAGTCAGTTTGAAAAGATTGCATTATACCTTGTATTGTATTATAGCAGCTGTTAAACAATTGACAGAAACAGAAATGTCCTTTTAAAAATTGTATTGCATTTTTGACAGGAAGGAAGTATATAAATTTTACACTCAGATCGTAACTCATATCATAAAAAGTATTCAACTAGCTGATGTGAGTCCTTTGTCAGATAAAACTATTTTCCTGTTTTAACAGTAATACATGTGTATAACCATACAAATTATATAGTATACATATTACAACATATCTGGACATAAAGAACTAGCCATCATACACAGCAAAATGAAACACTTCTGCACAGATTGAAATATTATTAGCCAACACAGTCCAGGCTGCATTGCTGACAGTAATATACACAATTATACATCTTGTGATTTGTTACTTACCGGTAAACAAAAGTGCAATGTCTGTGATAATCCAAAAACTTCCTGACAAAGAATGCTTTGATTGGAATAAATTTTTGAAAGGCAGTTTGTTGACAAAGAAGTGTTATTTTGATGACCAAAATTGTTAGCATGGAAACTGACACAAACCTTCACCATCTGTCATCTCTGTCATTTTCCCTCACCACCTATCATCTGACACCCTGTCGTTTTCCGACCACCCTGGCGCGATCCTGAGTCTGGACTCCGTCTGTCCGTCTGTGCTCCTGCCGGACTCCAGCGTCACGCGCTGCCGGGTCGTCCTGGCCTGCGTCTCCATGGCGATGACCTTGATGGCCTGCTGCGCCTCCCTGCAGCAGCTGTGCACGTCGTTAATGACAGAGTCCTGGATGTGCTGCATCATGTCTCGTACATCCTGCAGACGCTTCAGGGTCTGGAACAGACAGGTATTATTGTCATTTACAGAGCATCTGCTGACGTGACAATGTCCTATTTGCATTTCTGATCATTGAGTGATGATGATGATGATCATTGAGTCATATGATAAACTTTATTGTGCAACAATTATACATTGTGCAAGGTACAAAGTATGGCATCTATTACTATGTAGCAAACATACTATGAGACTGATCTACCTTACCAAGAGTAAAGTATGGGATGGGAATGTGCTTTTGCAGTAAATGGTCAAATTTCTAGAGTTAAGTAATTTTTTTAGATATTGACCAATCGCCAGTGTTTTTTACCATGGTCGACAGGTACAACATATTGTAATACTGTAGAAGTATGATTAACATCTAGGGATTCTGACTGTGTATGAGTTTCTGACTGAAGAGCAAGAAATGCTTGTAACTTACCTCCCCATCTATCAGTAGAAACAGCTCCTTGGTGATTGGGTCCCTCTCTGTGATGATCTGGAGTTTGGACTGGACCATCTCCTCCAGAGAACGGGGGGCCATGGCCGCTGCACTCTTCAGTAACACACTCACCTTCTGCCGATACGCATTTGCCATCTTTCCCAAGAGGATTGTGTTGAGGGGGCTCTAAAGAAAGAAGCAATGGCATGAAGAAAGTTGTGGTAACCTACATGTATCTGTAATGGTTTCATAGATGTTGAATACAATATCAAAACATCAGATGCATTTGTAAAAGCAAAAGAAAAGATTTTAGCCACAATCTACATTTCAATTTTACAAAGTCTTATACATTGTACATGTGTACCTGCTAAAAACAATTCAACCATAAGATATAACACCATAGAATTGAAGAAGACTGACAAAGGGAATGAACAAAGATGAATGAAAGTTTTCAAGGATTTTCTAAAGTAGTTTTGAATACTGGTAGCAATTTGAATTCTTTCCTGACCTCATCGTCCTCAGGCTGAGTGAGTTTGATGAGTTGATTCCCCACCAGGACGTCGTGTTCCCCCAGCATGCGGCCAGTCCGCTCCAGCTCGTACAGCACCAGCTCCTGCATGTTCATGTTCAGGGTGTTCAGGTACTCCACAGTCGCCGCGGGGCTATGCTGCATCCGCCAACAGTCAGGCAGGTATGACATGTGCTGAGGGGAAGAAGGAAGAAAGGCATTCAAAATAGTGAAACTAGACATTATGAAGCAGTTTAAACTGTGATTTCCAACACAAGAGATTGGACCTAGCCAAATTTTCACTGAAACTAGACGTTAAAGAGCTGGAAGAATCATGGTACTGCATTCCTGAAAATTCACCAAAATAAGGGCAGTAATAACACATGACCTCACCTGGTACATGAGTGCCCTTGCAGTCAGCCATCTGTACACAGACAGCAGGTCATTCCTCTCCAGGTAATACCTGTACAACAGGTGAGACAGGTGAGCAGAAACATGTGAACTGGGATGTCATACAAACTAAAATAACATACTGCATTTGTATAGTGAGCAATAGCGTGTGACAATGTCAAAGACTAAAATATGCTACAAATCTCTATAGAAGTATATATTTTGAACTGGGCCCAGACTGGCTCCATATTGAATACATTTGTACTTAATGTAATTGATACAAAGAAATGCAGCTACTCACTTAACCAGGTGGTCTACATGCATGCTGGCTGCCCGAAGGTTTGGTCCTGTGAAAGGGTCCTGGTTGTCCTCAGGCCCTCCGTACACAAAGTGGAACCTTGCCTGAAAACAGACATGACATGTCATGATCTGTGTCTGAACTGTGTCAAGATACAGAATGTAAAGGAAATTTTACCACACTCTTCTTATACAGCATTACTTATTTTGAGTGGAAATTCTGACAGTGTAATATATGACGTACCTTTTCTCTGACCAGGAAGATGTTCTGATACAGGGATGCTGTGTTGTAAGGGAAGAATCTTTGAACTCTGAAAAACAGAGAAATGAACACAATTTGCTGATGAAAGAATGTGCTGTTACACTGTATATTGTAAGAAACTTTTTCAAAAGTGGCAAACATCATTTAAAAAGATATCCTGATTTTTTGTGATGGCTCCCCATGACTTACTGGTCTTCATCATCCTCCACATAGCGCAGCAGGAAGTGTTTTTCTACAGGCACATATCTCCACCCCTTCTCCTGTACAACAAACACCTGCAGAAACAACATGGAATAGTTAACTAACTTAAAGGATAATCCTCTGGAGGATTAGCATCCAACTAAGACCTCTGGCCGTGCAAGGAATTTGTCACAATTAAGATTAACTTGATACAAACAAAATCTAGGTGTATGATGATTGCTCCTAGGCACTGTGACAAGAATGCAGTTAGACTTCAGTCTATATCTCCCTCATCTCTCTTCTGTTCAAGAAAAATTCACTGATTCAGGAAGGTAGCAAAGAAGTTATTGAAACATTTTCTGGGTAAATGAATAGCATATAATTGTACTGTATAAGTATATAGTAAGAACCTTATTCTCCACTGTTAGATAAAATCTACCTTGACAAAAGCAGGTTCCTGGCACTGTAGTGTCCTCTCCAACTCTGCCATGAATGCATTCTTCCTCTGTATGACAGCATGGATGGACCACCTCTCCCCACTGTCACCCAGAAACACACCGTATACCAGGATAGTCCCTGTCCTGTACAGGTCTATCAGGTGGTCATATACTAGTGTAGAGGTGAGGAAAAAATGGGAACAAAAATGTCAATGGATTTTGTAAAAATATTTCAACTTATCTAACTCAAACCATACTAATGCTTGTATTGCCATTTTGCTACAGTACAAGTAAAGGAATGTTTACCAGGAACAGTTGGATATATTGTATACATTACATATCCCTTAGAATCCTTGACAAAGCAAGATAAAGAAAACAAATAAAATAGAACAGGATAGATAACTAACCAATGGAAAGGTAGGCCTGCAAGGCCTCCCCACTACAGCCCTTAGGTCCCTTGATGTAAGTGTGCTCATGCAGCTCCAACTTCAACAGGTAGGGGGCCATTCTGCCATACAGCCCGCTAGCTCCAGCTATAGCCAAGGCCTGGAATATCTATGGAATCAAGAACATACAGCAATCAAATTTATAGAAGTTGTTTTGGAAATTTTGGAAACTTACCAATAAGGACAATAAAAATGAATGTGTATGGGTTGGTGGGGGTATTGGGTGTGGTCTAGTGTTTGAGGTAGTTTTGTTGTTAAACTTCAAGTTCAATAAGTAAACTAAATCACTTTGTACCTTGAAACTTCCCCTCCTCTTCGGTGCCTCCTGGTTCACGAGCATGTCAGCGAGGAGGGACACCAGACGGAAGTGCCCGATGTCCAGGATCATCAGGGCGCTCACGTGTCCATACGCCTCCGTCCCCGGGATGTGGTAGATGTAGTTGTCTGGATCAATCATTCTTTCTGATCTGTGAACAAGTTTCTGAACCAACTTGTCTGGATTTTCTGTCCACAGTTCCATCCTAAAGGACAAGACAAGCGTTTATAAGTACCAATTATTTACTAGGTGTAACTATTACATTCTTCATGTTAGGATCAAAAGGTACACATATATGTGATTGCTCCAATAATTCACACTGATCAGTATTGGCCTTTGCTGACAGTTTCAAATCTTTCACTGTCATTATCAGCTACTGCAATCTAGTATGATGATCACTGAATATTCAAATGAACAATAGAAAAGCAATATATATGCCAGACAGACTTTTCCAAATGCAATCTAGGTCTGATCATGTGCTGAATATTGTCTGTAAAAACACACTTGTTAGTCAAGCACACTAAGCATCTTAAGTCCCTTCTCACTTGAGTGCAGCCTGTCTCATGGCAGTGACAAAGCGTGGGTAAGGGTTTGGAGGCAGGTAGGCACCACACAGGAGTTCCACTAGAAAGTCGTGCCAGGTCTCATCCAGCTTTGTGTCCACCATATACTGTAGGGAGGGGAGAGAATAATTAAGAATCATTGTGTCCACAATTTTCTGCAAGGCAGTGTTAAAGAGTTTTATTGTCTTTTATAAATCATAATTTCAAGTTCACCACAATAAGTGTCTTACAAGAGATGTCCCAAAATAAAGAGAAAAACTGAAAGCTATTATACTGAAATGGTTTGCCCCTAGTGTTGAACTCAGCTCAAGTAAAAACAACCCAATCCATTTGACGGCTTTCAGCACCAAGGACAGGTCTGTCATGTACTAGTATATTGTGTGCAGTGCACAAATCTATTTGGCTAGTCCTAATATATGAACTCATCATTAGTTACAGTACCTGTAGCTTGCTCAACTAAACCAACCCAAGCCATTTTATGACGTTCAGCACCAAGGACAGGTCTGTCATGTATATTATGTGCAGTACACAAAGGGCTAGTGCACAAATCTATTTGGCTAGTCCTAATATATGAATTCAGCACCTGTTACAGTACCTGTAGCTTGTCAGAATCTGCTATAAAACTGGCCACATGGAACAGATATACATGATGTCACTGACCTGCATCAGGACAGCCTCCACAGCAATGACCTTCGGCACTGAGGCCCGCTCTATACCTATTTCAACATCCACCGCTGGATAAGGAATAAAAAGACATGCTAATCACACTGTAGGCAATCTAAACACAATGAGGTGTGCCCTAACTTGAAACAGATTTTTTTACTTATTATTCATTTGCTGTTTGTTACCATCCTCTATGCTGATTTGAAACTTAAGGTATATAAATTTAGCCCATCTATACTGCTGTTATTTGCATTCAGAATATACTGGACAATGTATATATTTATCTACTGCTTTGTTGAAAACAACTTTTAAACAAGGTACTAAACAAAGCTGAGAATCTAAAATTAAAAGTAGAGATGAAAATACTCCACCCCTGTGGCATTGCCAAAGGCAAGTGACCAGGCCTTACCCAGTTTGTCATGTTTGAGAAGATCTGGGTCCTCAGCTCCGTGTGTGAAGATCTCAGACACCAGAGGGGCCGCTCCCTTCTTCTTCTTCTTGTCCTGATCAAGAAATCATGGCAGTGGTGATGGTTAGTATTGTACAGTTTTGAATTGTCTTGGAAGACAACACTGCAGGGTAGTACCAGTTACACAAATGTAAGTAAGGGAAAGTATGGTTCACTCATTGGTAAACAGCAGCATCTACATTGTATGTTCTGTTTGAAACTTGACCAATGACAGCTTACCTGTCTCCTCTCCATCTGTCTGGTCTGTGGGCGTGGCATCTCCTCAGGGAAGGTCAAGTACATCATCTGGAGTATCTCCTGGTTTGACGAGGGAGAAAATCAGCCACAAATTCAAATGGTTTACTTTCCAAGTCACAGAATTCATATTCGTGGTGCAAATGGTAACATTTTAACATTAAGCATATCAATTTCAAACGAAATGGAATTTTGGCAGCTGAGCATGAAACACAGAGTTAAGAATCCCAATGTTTGAACATGCAAGTACAAAAAGTAGTATAATAAGAGCTGAACCACACACTTCCAGTATGGGGGCGTGTATCAGGCTATCTTCAATCAGCTGCAGCTGGATGCAGGAGCAGTACTGGTTGATGCTCCGCAGGATGGACAGCATCTGTTGATCAAGGAAAGTGAAGACAACAAATAAAATAAAAACTGTTAGTCCCAAGTGCACCTCATGAATATCAGTAATATTAAAGTGATTTTTCACACTGCACAACCTTAATGTGGATGAACAAGTATAATATTATAATATGCTAAAACACCTTTTTGTTATAGCCATGTTTAAAACAATTGAAATTCCAACAAGCATATAATAGAGAAGTTTTAGATTTTCTAAAATAGCCTTAAAACATGTGACATTTACCTTCTTGTTGAGAGGGATGCTGTGTGGGTCCACAGCATCGTCTGACCCTATCACCCCAGTAAACCTCTGCTTAATGTCCATGTAAGCTGAGTTCAGATCAGAGGACCTCTCTAGCCTGGGCACACACATGGTATAAGACGTGATACAATGTGTAATTTGAAATTCTCTCAAACCATTTGCATTAAGAACTTTATATCTTTTTTGTACTTTGAACACTGAAAAACTTTAAGGTTTGTATAGAAGACTTCATGGAATAAAACTCACAGGCTGCTATCCAGAAGACTCAAGAGTGCATCTTTGTACTTCTTGAACTCTCCTTGTACAAAATGGGACTGTAAAACCTGTTTAAAAAAAAGAAAAACAATTCAACTACCATTTCATGGAGCGTTTTCTTTCAACACTAGACTGCGAAATGTCAAGTACATTTTAAAAATTCAGAAAGAACTATGAGAAGTTCCAAATCTCAGACCTACCCCTTCGTACTTGGCCACCAGGCTGCGTATCACGTTGTTGTGTTCCATGATGGAGCTAAGCCTGGCTGCCGTGCTACGCAGCAGCCTGTAGATTTGGATCAGTGCACTTTGCTGATAGGCATTCCTGAAAACAACAGACAACATTGCTCTGTGTTTGGACAACAAACATAGTCTCAATATTCATCATATTTGCTTCATTGCTATGAAGGTTGAATGATAATTGATGATAATTAATCACCTGTCCATGAGGATGAGAAGGATGGAATTGTAGGCAACATCAAAGACCTCTGCCTCAGGGTGCATACTGGCTATCTTCCTCTGTATGTGCTCCCTGGAGGATAAACATCAACGTTCAGATTCTTCCCACTCAACTCACACTTTTACACTGAGTAATACATAATTCATGATACACACATCTTCTGAGAGTACCAAAGCATACAGGCGAGAGAGGAAAGTTGTTTATAACAGAGATGAGAGGAAAGGTGTTCTTTACCTGATTGGCGATTTCACCTGCCAAGAGTCAGGACCATACTTCCCAGATGATCCAACAAATCCCTCTGCCTCCCCTTTCTCTCCATCTCTCTTTTCTTCCTCCTTGCTCTTCTTCTTGTCATCCTTGTCTTTAGACTTCTTTTTGCCCTCAGCTATGGATGAAATGTTGTAGAGAAGAAACATCTTTGTGTAAAATCTGAGGATCACTTTTTTATTAGTCCAGTTCATTGATGATCAAGACTGCAGACGGCAAATTTCAGTTCTAAAAAAGTCATTTTAAAATGCCAGAATTACTTTGCTATATGATAAACAACTACCGGTAGGTACAATTGATAATTGGACGATACCTTGTTCATTTTTTGAGAGGTCTGACTTGTAGCGTGGCTGCATGGAAGGCGGAGGTTGGTCCTTGTCCATGACTTCGTGCCGCGGCATGAAGATGTTGAGGTAAGCTTCAGCATGGGACTTCTGTAGGAACACGCCTTCATGTAGGGTACCCAGGGGGAACTCTGCAAAACTCACCAATCTAAAAAAAGGCAACAACATTAAACAGACTTTTGTAACTTTCTAAACCCTTTTGTTACTTTTTTATATTGTCTCCCACTTTTTTGAATGATTGTTAGTGATATGAATAGCTAAGAAGCATCAGAGTGGTAAGTCACAGGAAAAGAAAGTTCTCCATTCCACAAATCAAATGGTAGTTGTTGACGGCCGATTTTTCAGTAACTCCTCAGCTAACCCCCTCAGGGCTGAAGTTGGACTCTACTACTCTTCACCACAGGGGGGTGTTACGGAAAGGATGGGAACATTTACTAGGCTATGCTTCTTAGCAAGCTGTAAGTGTAAGTTGTTTTCACCATTCTATTGCTACATATCAGGAATGGATCATTGAGCACGATATACTTTAGACTCTTACCTTTCTGTCTTGTCTTTCTCTGAGACTTCAATAAAGTGAAGTTCATACTGCTTCTGTCCTCTCCGGAATGTGTCAGAGAAAGGGTCAACTCGGAACACTCCCTGTGGGGAGGATGCAAACCCAGAAACAGTAAGGAATTCTGCAAGGTTCTTGTAACTAAATACAATAATCACTCCTGAATCAACAGGTGGGTGTGGATATGGTATACATTCAAGCAACAAATGTAATCCTTACCTCAAAAGTAGCCATCTTATTGTTGATTGTTGCTTCAGATATAGCATGCCAGAAATCAGCCTGGAAAGAAAGCATGCAGTTTAAAAATGGAGCTGCAGAAACAATTTTCAAACGATGTCGAACATTTGTGTCAAAAATTGAAACACAGCACCACAGGCATTGCCTGAAAAAGTAGTCTCCATTCTATCTCCCTAACCTTGCTGATAACATTATAGGATAACTTGCCAACATATACAACAATCATTGTGAAGAAACTCTTCTATTTTTTTCCTTCAATATCTGACCTTGACCTAGCATTCTGACCTATGACCCCTGAACTCTGCACTCTTTACTGACCTGGTTATTCAGGACCATCTCTTGGTCCCAGAAGACGTTATCCCATAGGCCAGGGAACTCTTCATCCTTAGTTGGAACACTGACACCTGCAATAATGTAGTGTACATCTTTATAATCAGAAGTAGATATCCCAATACCTACATGACATATAGATATAGGGAGGAATTGTACAGTACACCTCTATGCACTATATAATTTCTAAGGCACATGTACCTTACAAGCAAATTAAGGCATGACTTACCGAAGTAGACATGGGTGTTCTGATTGTCCATGTTGTTGACATCGTTCACAACACTGTCAACAAACATAGAAATTCCCTGGAAAAACAACCCAAACAAGAAATATAATAAATGTTAATATCTTAACAAGTATATCATGGAATATCTTACATATATAATACAATGTATGGTAACCTGTACCACAATTCAAAGAAGCTAGTCTACCCTACATGTAGTATATGAAGAGACTACCGTATGTACCATACGTATGTACTGTCTTATACATTGTATTAACAAAACAGATCTTTTAGATAAATGGTAGTGACCAGGTTTACCTGTTCAGCATCTGGTCCTACTGACACATAGGAGACCCTGACTGTCACCATGTCAGGATGGGGGTAGAACGTGCTGGTGAACACACTCTGACCAACCAGGGCCATTAGAACCTGGCACTGAATACAAACCAGAGGACAAAGAACTCATCAATCAGCATTCAAAATTGTGACACTGGTAATTAGGTGATCAAACTGTCTACATACAATGTCACTTTTTGAATTTGACGATGAATATCTCAACTTTGCTGGCATCTTAACATTATATGCATAATTATACAACATTACTAAACATAGAACTACCGGTAATTGCATTTCATTGTATGTTTCAAAGGATAGATTTGAGATACAGGTGTCTTTTATCTTACATGTTATAGCAAACATATACATACACTGTAACCTTCCTCCTTGTGTATGGAGGACTCTTTTGGAGTCAGGTCGTCCAGAAGCCACTCGTACTGGCGGAGTGCCGGCGGGTCTACACAACGTAGGATGGTGGACAGGCCCCACACATTGGTGTAACCCTTCACACCACTCACATAGCCCAGAGATGTCGCATAGGTAGGGTTCTCTGTGTGATGATACATGTACAGGTGGTTTTGACTTCTACAATGTCAGCATATATCTGACACTGATGCACTGACCAGGAAACATGCAACAAAATTTACAAAAAGGATGTAGACAAAGTCAGAAATACCTAAGAGCTGGGTAATCTTCTCATCATTATCCCCTCTGAACATGTGGAATCTGTGAAAAGAATAATAGTTACAGTTAACAAAATCAGACAAAACTAATTAAAAAGAATTATTAATCATTTCTATCATACCTGTACACGGTGCAGCATACAAAATGTACTTGATCTAAGATTTATACAGTGACAGTGATTTTGTAACTTTTCAAAACAAATGGAGACCTGTAGAATGCAATGATTTAAAAGATATAATATTTTAATAAGCCTAGTAAATAGTAGTAAGTTACATCTTTAGGCAAATGCTTACTTTTCAGAGTTCCTCCTGAGCCTCCTCACAAAGCCTGGGTACGGGTTATATGGCAGGTCGGGCATGCTCAGTAGCATCCCACAGAGCTCCTTCATGTCTGCGGTGAGTTTCTTCTCGTGCAGGTACCTCTGTATGATCCCCATCCTCCTCTGCAGCTGGGGGTCATCCTCAGGTACAACATAGCGGAGACGTTCCACCACTGGGACACCCATCTAGAGTATTAACACATTCAATAACAATTTTCCTACAATTACAGTACTAGTACTTGAATTCATATGAATAAGAATGAACACACAAGTACCCATTTTTTGGCTATTAAAAGCAAGGGGGTAAGAGTACTAAATATCAAAGATAGATATCAGTTTTTATTCATTTCTTTAACTTTTCCACTATTTAGCAGAATACCATCCTGTCATTAAATCAGACATGAACTGTGGTACAGCATTATTGTACAATAAAATCTACATTTCTTGCTGCCTAATTTTCTTACAGACTAAGTATATGTTAGGTACATTGTACATGTGAGGTAAGGTAAGGTAATTCATTTGATACTGGTGGTAGATAGCAGTCTGTCAGTTGTAATGAGATTAAATCCACGCACCATGGAGTCAGTGTCGGATCGTTCAGTGATGGTTTGCATGGAGCGGGCTGTGGCTCGGGACACCCCGGGTTGTGTGGGTCGCCGGCGGGACTGTGACGATGTCAGGGGACGATACACAGCTGACTCCTACAGAAACGATGTGCAGATTGGGAAAAAACAAAACATAAACATACAATTTAATGTATAATACAGTGTGTAAGTCTGTTTCCATTGTCTATCTCCATAAATTACTCAGACTATGCCAATTTGAAAAGAACTGAACTCATCAGTGTCAAATTTTGAGACAACTAAACATTTAGTTCTGGTACAAAAAATGAAATGTTTTAAATTACCTTCCTGGTCCTTCTGGAGCGACCAGTGGCAACACTGCTGGACCGGACCGTACCACCTGGTCTGGTAGGAGGTTGAGAATCTTTCGGTTCTATTACTGATCTCCTACCTCCAACACCTGCTGGGGAAATTCCTCTGTTTTGGTAATTCTATAAACATACCCATCGAGTATACTTTATTTAAGGCAAAGATATCTAAAGTTACATGCATTGTCCTACTACCTCACCGAATGACGCTACTTTGAATTCCAAAATCACAACTTGAAAACAGCATATGCAAGTTTAAATGAGTAAGCAGAAAATTGCAAAGGGGAGTGGCACACAAACACAATATTCGGATTAAGTTAGATCCTGCGTACACCATAGGATGTACTAGTAACTCATCGGGACATTCCCACTTGGGACAGTCCCACAAGACTGTAGACCCCCCACCCCCAAAAGAGACGGATCCGCTTTGCTTACTCTGTGGAGGTTGTGGGGATCCATCCGTTGTTTTCCTGCCTGCTTGAGACACATTCCCGGCCGCAGTCGGTCTCCGTGATGCCATGATTTTGTGAGAGAGGTCAACAGTAATCAACACCGATCAAGAGGTGCACTAGAAAAAAGTCAGATCATACTATTCACATGCACGACGTCCTTTTCAGAGTGATAACACGCTTATATTGTCCGTTAGTCCTCGCAGCAGTGGCTAGACAATGAAAATTCACATGATAAGATTATAATGGCTACTTTGAGAGAGATTTACGACGAAGAATTAGAAAGACCAAAACTTTTTCCCAATCGCCGCCATCTTGGTTTTAGAGTAGACCACTACAATGTAAAGGTAACATGAGACGAGAGGATATTATTTCACAGTGAAGACTATGTGTCATAAGATAATATACCAAAGATAACGAGACAGCTTTGAAAGTAGTGTTAAGGCCTAAGATTATCTCTGTCCAGAATTAAAAAACAGATAGTACATTATTAGAATAATCACGCCCCTAAAAAAAGTGGTATAACCTAATAGCTGAGATGATACCACGGTGTAAACGTTTCTATGGTGATATACTTCAGTAGTGTAGCCTAGGACCTGGCCTATGTAGTGTCATGGCACTTTTCTGATACGCCTAGCACGGTCACCGAAAAATCGGTGTCACAATGTGGTAATTTGGAGTGGTGGATTTCGGCCATTGAAGACTGTTACAAATATTCATACTTTCCACAAACTGTCAGAGATTGGAACATTTTGCCCCAAGAGATAACTGATACTGCGGAACCCGCGAAGTTCAACGCTGCAGTACTACAACACCTGAGGACGCAGCAATAGCGCATCGCACAGTTCCCCTGCAAGCTTTACCCCAATTTAGGGGTGTTGTGCAGTACCTAAACAAGACAAGACAAGACAAGTGTTGTCTATTGTTGGGCGGAGAGAACTAGTAACTGTAAGTGTAAATGTGCTATGAAATTTGATGAAATTTCAATAAAACTCGAGAATATCACTAGGCAAAGTGAAGTTGCCCAGGAGCTTGAACGTCAAGTTACTAAATCACTACAAGTGGAAATTTTCCGGTATTCTGCTGAGGCGATTCATTTTCTCATGACTGCTATCTATTATCTACTACTGGCTCGGACATCTTAGCACTAGATAGCTTTGGATTCTTCGAGGAGGTTACAGGTCTGTCTATATGGATTCTTGGAACACATGTGAAGTAAGACTCTCTGGTACCCGACCAAGACTCACCAGTCGTCCGTGCACAGAGAAGACGTCAGGAAGTCGAGCGCCAAACTTCAACACGTGTTATCCCATCAGTACACTACCGGAAGTCAAAAGTCTAGAACTCCAGAAATTTAACGAATATAACGTTAGTTGTGTAGAAGTAACTATGGCAATGCAGGCACTGGATCCAGCTCACTCTGGATGGTCTGGATATAAAGTAATAACCGTTTACGGTATGGTAATTTGTCAGGGCCTCTAAAACTTTACGGCATTGTCTGGATTTCGAGACTACCGAGATCCCAAGTGCAAATGTTTAACGGTTGGAGTAGTGCCAGGCTCTCCCTTCCAGATTTTGCTGAATGTTCTGTTCGTAAGCTCCTGTTTGAGGAAAGTACCGGAAACAGTCGGACACTATAAAAGACGCCTCTTACCGTTATTTCATCACACATTGGCGGCGCGCGTTTGACCACTCTTCACTTGCACCTTCTCAAGGTAGGTGGTTTTGCATGCATGTATTTTTATAATTACTGGCTGGTGGTAAAGGTGACCAGATTATCAATTACAATTGACTTATCTGATGTCTACCTCTTCAGTGTCCAAAATTTGACTATTCACGAGGGTAAAAATCACGCGACGTTTGCTAGAACAGTGATTTTTATCTGTCGATCCTCTAATAAGTAGGGATTTGTGAGATCACGTATCGCTGCTTTACTCTTGAGCAAGCTGGGATGATTGTCGACGTCCTTTTGCCAGGCGCGCCCATCATCAGTGGCGCCTTGACGTTTCAATTGTCTGCCTGGGAATATCAAAGTGGGCAGACAGCGATACAAAATTTGGTCTCTAACTTAGATCCCCCTTCATCTCTTTCTTCACGCAGGCGGGGACGTTCTGGTTTTTCCTTTCAAGTTGAGTCCGGCGTTCTGTAGTTACCATGAAGCTGCTCTACCTGGTTCTGCTACTTGTCCCAGCCTGTGTCCTGGGTCAGTCCGCCTGTCGCCGACTGAACATGGTCAGCAGAGCGGCCTGGGGTGCAGCGGCGCCCCGGGCCCGCACGCCGCTCAGCCACCCGACACAGAAGGTCGTGATTCACCACAGCGACAGCCGCTGGACGGACCTGTTCAACTGGGGAGGGTACAGCGACCAGGAAGAGTACGAGGAGAGGGTGAGGGAAATCCAGGAGGATCACATGGACAAGAACTGGGACGACATCGGCTACAACTTTCTCATCGACGGATACGGAAACGTGTATGTGGGGCGCGGATGGGACAATAAGTGAGTTGTTCAGTCCTGTCAACTTTAGCTTTAGATTCAATATTTCAATTCCAAACGATCAAAACTTCATTGGTTTCATACAAGCGATCCTAGAAAGAAAACTTTAAAATCCATATATTTTCTAGAAATCAATTCCCACGACAGCAATGCAATTTTTTTCGGCTGCATGTACGGCTAATCAGCTTTTAATTATCAAACAGTCGCACCAGCATAGCAACGTCAGCCAATGCATAGTATATACAGTGTATGTGAGAATGGTTTTATAAAAGCAAGGAGGTTAAATACTTGTATTTAACCTCCTTGATAAAAGACATGAGGATGGGACTAGGTAAAGGTAAGGATAAAAGCCAACCAGGATAATAATTGAAAAATGAAAGATAAGGCTACAATTTTAATCTTCAAGCAGATCATACGGTGGCAAGGCAGTATCCAGAGGGAGGCTAATGGACGCTCCTCTGGCCATGCAATGGATACTGCCTTGCCACCGTATACTAGTAATCTGCTTGGAGATTAACAATTTGACAATATAGTAAAATACCCCTCTTTGATTATCAGCAAAAATCAATAAAGTAATAGTAAGTTAGTAATGATTATAGAACCTTTTGGAACGACTGTACGTGTGTGCCTATGATATACAGTTCCATCGTAACACGAATGTGACACTTTCTCTTTCAGGGGTTCTCACACTCCCTGCTGCAACTCTATCGCCATCGGCATCAACTTCCTCGGGTACTTCGAAGACAACCTCCCGACTAGAGCAGCCCGGGAGGCCGGGAAGAACCTGATCGCTTGCGGGGTGGCGCTGGGGAAGATCCGGCGCGGATACGTCATGGACTGTCACTCCGATCTCGGGGCCAGCAGCGGGGACACCGACTGTCCAGGTGCAGCTCTCTGCGGCTACGCCAAGAGGCACTTCCGTGGCCTGTAGTGTTTACTGAAACTGTCTATGTCCACACATTTGGATTTGCTACATGTAATTCAATGAAATCGTATCTTAAAGTTTGCTTTTGTCGTGTAGAAATGTCGGAAAATAATGTTATTACTAGTATTTTGTAGTTTCTCCTCATTTAAGTCGTAACAACATGTTCGCTCCAGCGGATTAAACCAAGGAAAGCTCCTTGATTAAACATTGACAAAAATATTTCTGTTGTTTGGCTAATTTTCGTGGTTCTCCCTTGTACGTACTTAGCGATGACTAGTTTACCAATGTTCTTCCAGCACTCAGAAAGTATGACATCTATGAAATAAAATTGATTTACTGTTAGATAATCAATTTTCATTGTTACACGTGGATGATAATGCTATGTAATAGGTCACGCATATAAGTCATGCCGTGTGCATTGATATCATGCGTTATCCGTATGGTTTCCTTGGTGAGAATGAAAGCGCCATCAATGATAATTGTCTTATGGCAATATGTGATTTTAGAAAATATAAAGCATGTTGCAATATACTTGTTAACGGTAGCATTTTAGATCTGTACCTGATAGGACAAACTTCTTGCAATTCGC